TGAATGCGATAAAAAGTAATAGCAAGTTTTGTTATTACTTATTGTCTAGATATGAAATTAAGCTGCTTTTTTTTCAAATTTGAAATATTATCTTTTACAAGGAATTATAGTAAGAATAAACAATATTGACATATATCTCTGAGTATAGTCATACCTCGATTAACAAATAGGATGCGAAATTACTTTGTTGACGTTGCCAGAATGACGTAAATAAACCTTATTTTTGTCTTTATTTCCTTTGTTTTTGATGTTAAAAAAAAAACATCATCTCCAGCATTCAATACATTTTTCACATCTTTTTCAAAGACTCTTCATTTGGATATATCTAATATATCTAATTTACTGGATAATATATTCTCCATCTAATACAACTTCCAACAATATTTTGATTAAAATTAACGACTTCTTCAATATCAGAAGTAGCGTTAAGCAAGGTATTGTCCTATAGTTCCCGTTACTGAGCAGGAATTATATACAATAAGTAAAAATATGAAACATTTATAAAATTCTGTAAGAAACAATTCAAATATTATCAATAAGAAAGTATCATATACTTAGTATAAATCACTTAAAGATTGAAACGATTCAAAACGTTGAATTTAAACATGTATATAAATATTATGTTCATGAATATTTTATATATAAATATATATATAATTATATAAAACTGTTACTGGATAGAAAATTTAATTGATAGAAACCAACGAAGAAATTGAAAATTGTCAACGATTAAAATAAAACTAAAAACATGTTGTTTTCTTTTATTCATTAAATTTTACAATTTATTCATTCTATTTGGCTGCCATTGGCTAACGACGATATATTACTTCTTCCGACTAATATGAGTTTACATAAGTTTTTGTATGTAGTGCTTAAACTTGTTACTAGGAAACTTTCACCAATCAATGAGCGAATAGTCTTTAAGTCAAATGACTGATCAAATTTAAATAACTAACATATTTATGGAAAACAAGAATTACAGAGTTTATAAAAAATCTAAGTAATAATGCATTAAAATTACAAATGAATACCTAAAATAAAATAACTTATTGGGTTTCGACAATTTGTTACATATGTAAATGATAGAAGAACGACACATTTTAATTCTGTAATTAAAAATAAAGATATATGTATATAACTAACATATTTATAGAAAATAAGAATCACATCTATTAAAAACATAATTTAATGTTTGTAATACAATAAATACATCAAAGAGACCAATACATTTTATAGGAAGAATAAGAATAGAGTAAGAACTCGTTTACGGCTTAGAATGCATTTCGATACTACAAACGCTTGAAATAGCGTTAAATAAAGTCACATTAACATATAGTAGGTAGGTAAATTTATGGGTTTTTTAAACTTTTAGTATACCGCTAAACAAAATCTTACTAAAATATACATATTCTCTTTCTCGCTTATACCGTTTATATTTCATAGAAAAATAATAATTTCATACGTTTTCTTGTATAGATTTTTCTTTATTTGTGTATACTTAATAACTTTTACTATTTGACTTAAAAAATAGATAAGTTAGTTAGCAATAATACCAATGATGCTTTGTTAATTAAAAAATAAATATAAAATATTTAGTGACTTTCTTTATATTACAATTGCAAATGTTCGCAATCTAACAAAAAAATTATAATTCGTATTTTTTTTTCGTTGACTAATGTTGAATAATGTAAAATATGTGTTTAACAATGTATTTGGGATTGAATTGTTTATAATACAATAATACAAAAACTCACTGAGTTCTTGTACATTATTATTGCCAATAACAAATAACCAAAAAAACAATTTAATTCCGCAATAAAAAGTAAACAAGGAATATTAGGATTAAGCAAAAATCGTGAAGAAATTTAATTAGCAAAGGTGGCACTGCGAAATATTATACTTTACAGCAAATTCGTAATATTAATTAGAAGGTTGAACCGTAACTTTTGGAGCGAGTCCAGCGGAAATGCGGACATGCAAATTTAGGAACAGGTGAAAGTTTCATTACCGGAATCACCGAATTACGAGAAACTCTAATTTCAATGACACGCAACTGCAGGATACAAACAAAACCGCAACTAGCGAAACCACTATCAATTTACGTGTTTGGAATGCCATTGGAATATATTTATGTATATAACTAAATCAAAAAAATTAAAATATTTTACTTATAAATAATCTTCAATATAATTAAAAAAATGGTCAGATAATATAAAAATAATAATTATAATATTTTCGAAATATAGTGGAATTACTTCGTTCTATTCAATTTTTCATACAAAGAAAAACTAATTACAACTTGTTTATTTACCCACTATGTCACGGTAGTAATTTAATTAAATTGCAATACCTCGCACAGTGCGGCTTCGATTAGTTCAGATTCACTATACTCCGGTTTAAACATTTCAAAACAAACCAAATCTCAATTCAGCAAAATACAAATAAATTCTAAAGTCTGTTTTGACCGATATTAAAATCCTCAATCCGCATATTGGCGGAACCAATTACCCGGACTATGCGAGGTTTTGCAGTATTGTACAAAATAATCATAACCAATGGATGAAAATCATCACTATATAATTTTTATATTTAACCTAAGATTTAGTAAAAGTATCTTAATTATTAATTTAAATTAAAAAAAAAAACAAAGAATTTCAATGCTCTAATATTTTTATTACTTAATAAATTAATATTACGTAAATTATCTATGTTTACTCACCGAATACATGTTATTAAGTAATTCCCATTCAATTTCATCTCATACAATAGAGCGTCTACTTAATTGAATAGAAACGTTACATATTTTCTTTTAATCCGTGTGAAGTGTGTGTAAAAAAACTACAATGTAATATATTTAAAATGTTCATACTGAAATTACATAAATGTTCTTGCAAATGATTTACTTACTAGATTAACGTGATTTTACTATATTAAGGCTTATTTATAGAAACGAATCAATGGCTCCACCTTAGACGTAACTCAATCAATAAAGAAGCCCTTTTAATATTTATTAAACGTAAATCCAACGTTGAATTTAAAAATGTTATGTACATATCTTTATTATTTATTAATGCAAAGTGTGGAAATAATAAAATGTTTAAGTGATTGGAAAATATATACAATTTTATAAAGTAATAAATTGGAATTCAACACATTAAAAACTTTTATTTTATTTCATTTCATTTTAATAAAATTATTAATTATCTTGGAAAAATTCCATTCATTCTTTAATGATTTATCTAAACTTCATTTAAATTTTACAGTTATTATTATGTTTGATGTTATAAAAAGCAATTAGTAATGCTAGTACTATAAAAAATATATCTCAGAAATTTAAACAAAACATATTTTTTCTAATAATATATGATGTCACGTCATGTAATGCAGTATTTATCATCGATTGTACAAATATTTTCTATTATTCCAAGCTTAGCAAACACATCAACAATTCTATTTTTGTACTAAGGAAATACCTTACAAATAATTAATCATCTTCTACTGCTTTAGGTTATTTCTATCTAAGCAAACGTATTATTAAATCATTATATAAGAAACACCTAAGTTTAGTTAAATAAGTACCCTCAATTAAAAACTATTTTACTTCAACTTTAAAATCAATAAAGAGTTTCCAGTTTCCTTCATAGATCAAAGAAATATGTATTTTCCAAAACAACAATGAATCATTTTATTCAAACCGTAATTAAAACCTTTTTCCAACTTTCCAGTTCCTTCATTGATCGGAAATATAAGTATTTTATCAATGACGAATAACACTTAACTCAGTTAACCTTGGAATTACATTACGAAATAAAAAATATCATTTTAGAATTTAACGCATTACAATAATTGCTCAAAATGACAAGTATTGTTTTGTATGTTTAATTTAAAAGTTTGTAGCAGGAATACAAACATTGAATAAAGTGAATCGAATTACTAATTAAAATCGATTTTCAAGTATTGAACTTTAAACAAAAGAACTGATATTGATTAGAAAGAAATGATTTTGAAATTGACCCAAATCGAATAAATTAATTAAAAGAATATATTACAAAATATTTGTTAGAAATTCAGACAAAAAAATATAAACAATTTATTAATAATAGAAAGAATTGTTCTATTTTTTTTATTGAAATTTAAGTATTTTAAGTTATTCTGTGTGCAATTATAATAATTTAAAACTTTATTAATTGATGTCAACTAATTCAACTAATCTTATATGTTTCTTAAATGTTGATTAATTTTATCTTTTAGATTAAATTTGCAAGGAAATAATAATTGTGATCAAATCCTAAGTTTAAGGACTTAGTAAAGGATTTTTAATTTTTTATGAAAATTCATATAATGGGTACTTCATTTATTGATTATCTATGCTCCTGAGAAGTAGTCGATAGTAATAAAATGATATTGTTAAGACGTAAACATGTAATTGATTATGTATGAAAACATAATTTATTTATATTTATGGCTTCAAATTATTCAATATTCTGTGAAAAGCAAGTTTTTTCTATTTATTTTTTCTTAATATGACATAATTATATATAAAAAGGCATTAATAAATATATGCACCTATAATATATTATTTACTGATTATTTCTTTCCATGGAAGTCATTGAAACTAATAAATTAATTGTTTTGTCACAGATTTCTTAAGTATCATATTTTTTATTGGAATTTTTTAATATGAAATAATTAAATTACAAAAACTGTTGATAAATCTATGCAGCTATAATATATTAATAATTTATTTAGATTTAATTAGATTCTTATCATAAATTTCTTTAGACGAAACTTTTTTACAATGGTATTTTTTAATATGGAATAATTGTTTATTTATTGGCCTACAGAATTATGTTGTGTTTTTATATATTAAACTTTATAATTAATATTTTTTAGTATTTTTTAAATATATAATATTAATATATTAAAAAGATTGTTGTATAAGTCTTATATGTAATATGTAATTTTATGTAATAAACGCGGGTATTATTCAAGAAACGTACCTGATAATTTAATGTAGGTCAATGATGCGGCTACACCAGATTTCCACCTTGGAACGGTGATGAAGAGTCGATCCCCGTGCACCTCGAGCCCTAAGGGCAGGTTATTCTGCTGCACGAATTCGCCCTTCTCAATCGACGCGTTCCTCGCATCTTCGGATGGAAATTCAAAGTCCACTTGTTTCCACTGAAAAGCCACTTTCAGATTGTCCATAGCGTATCCACCGAACTGTCCCAGCAGCACCACCGAAACCATCAACTGCAGCAGCATCTTTTCCATTTTTATTTTACAACTTTACAATGAAAACAAAAACAAATTCGTGTCTTAGTTTGCAGCGTTCAGACCGTTAGCATCTCACCCGCACGAATGCGACTAATTGTTTTTTTGTAGATATTCGGTACTCGATTGTTGATCCTTGTTAGTTCTTCAGATGGTGTGACATAGTAACGTGCGTTGGCAAGGTGTGTCTGAGAATTACGACCTTCGTCGGTTGCTCAACACTACGTACTGGTAGTGAAAGTAGAGGACTCAAATGTTCTCCCAGACTCGGAGTGTTTGTGGTCTATGAGGGGATTCGGCACAAACGCGCCGACACAAAAATGAAACAACGAAATTACAAACGCACGACCTCCCAATTTTCCCAAAAGAATTTACCAATTACTCATCCTAACCATTCTTAAGCATTGATTATCTCGTCTCGTTTTTGAGTACATCTTTAAGATTCCGATCATGAACGTCGCGAGCATGTAAGTAATATTCTTATCTATCCATTTCTATACCCATGAATCACCATACTTATCACTAAGGAAGCTGATCACAAATCGCGTAAATTTAACATGAACTCGAATACTTTTGAATGAACTTTATCATCGTATCATTTGCAAACGAATTCGCTGGAAATACCAAAAATAATAATAATACTCGGCCTCTGAAAATGCAAATCACCATTGGCTTTGGCACGATTTTCACCGACGCTGGCTGGTCTTATTTTATGGTATTTTTTTAATTTTATTTGTTTTATTTATTTACTGCCCATTGAAAGGTGAGACATACAGATATTCAAGACCAGACTTGCGCAAGATCTCTCATGCACATTTATAACATTGGAACGCGAGATTATGCGATGCCAAGAATTTAATTACAGAAACTCGTTCAGCAGCTAATAACAATAATCGCCTTTAAACGGCTCTTACTGATTTAATTTAGTCGGTTTGGACAAAACATGGAGCTTGAAACTGAAAATTCCCACAGTCTGAATGTAAATTAGTTCTGACACTACTGGTAATGTCATATCATGTTACCAATTAATTAATTTTATCATTCATATTCATTGATAATTTTATATGGAAACATAATAATTTATGGGAAAATAAATGTTATTAAAAATAATAAATTAATTCATAATTTTAAATGGAAAACTTAATATTTTATTACACTTAACAAAAAAAATAAAATTTTATTAATTTCATAAATTTCAATTATAAAATATAAATTAAAAACTAAAACCAATATAAAATTAAAAAAAAGAGAAATAAAAACACACAAAAAAAAGAACATTTTTATTCAATTAATTAGTTATTAAGAAATTTGTCCATAAAATCATAATAATTTAATGCAAAAAAATGCAAATTTACTTATATTAAGAAAATAAATGTAATTAAAAATGACAAATTAATTAACAATTTTAAATGGAAAACTTAATATTTTATTACACTTATAAATAAAATAAAATTTTATTCATTTAATTATAAAAAATATATATATATATATATAAATTAAAAACTATAACCAAGAAATGAAAGAAACAATTTTATATAAATAAACAACCAAAAAAATAACAATTCGATATAAATTTAAATGAAGAGAAATAAAAGCCAAATGACTATCAAGAAAAGAACATTATAAATTTAATTAATTATTAAGACTCACAGTGGACATTAGTTTTTTTTATAACTTTTTATATAACTAAATTTCTAACAACCAATACATTTCACATATACTATATTTTGCATCTTTTGTGGTAATTATAGTAAGAAATATAATCATAAATATTTTACAAAATAAAATCTATTTATTTACTAATTTATATATAAAAATTTATTACAACATTATAAAAAAGTATTATTACAAGAAAAAATTGATAATGTAAAATAAAGAAATATTTTTTAAAATTATAATAATATTTATTGAAACAAATTACTAAAATAATAATTTAAAACAATATCATAATAACAAAAGTTATCCTATTTTTTTTATATATTTGATAAAATATGTTGATTTTGCCAAATAAATTTTGCCGAATAGGGTAATTTGGGAATTTGGGTAATCGTCAAACCGGACTTATTAATGAATATATTTAGATAAAAACATAAATCATACAAAGATAAACTTACTATATAAAGAGAAAAAACGATCATTTAAGAATGAAGAAATATTATGTGTGTTTTTTTTTTAATTTATTTTGATTTTGTTCAATCAAAATTTTTTTTTTTTAAATTTCATATAGTAAATCCGGACTAATCGAAGTCGCAGTTATTGCTGTGTCAAATACGTTTGACTAGTACCATCCAAGAACGAAAATCCATTCATCAAATAATTCTCCACATATAATATGTGAAGTGGATACTTACAATATGTCAATAAATATGTTCGTTCTTTACTTCTATCATTATTGATTTAATACATGTAACTATTTTTAGAGATTCAAACTGAATTTGTACATTGAATATTCTATTTAAACGATATTTACTTTCGAATAAAGAAATATTATTATGAGATTGAAATAAATCTTAATAATTTTTTTAAACAAATGCATATTTGTTATATTTCCAAAAAACCTAATAGTGTGGGTAATCGGTTCCGCACAAATCGAGAAATTAAATAAAATATAATTAAACCGCACAAAAAGATTATTTTGTTCATTTTTTTATATTTTACTGAATTCGAATTTACTTTGTTTTGAAATTTTCATCCGTATTACTGTATTTTATTTTGTTGTAAGTTTTTGAACTAGTGTTACGAGGAAATACACATGAAATGCTTATTTCCTATAAAATAACATATTTCATTATTTCTATTCGCATTCATCTCATATTAAACCAATATAAATCTTTAAAATAACGATTAATCCGAGGTTAATTCAGTACTTGGTTAAAATAACAACATTGCATAAAAAAAACTCTGACTATAAATAAAACTTTTAGTTGATATATATTTCTACATTAAGGAAATAAGGAAATGTGATTAATATGGAAACCGCAGTCTTTTTATGGTTTGTATATATATCATCAAATTAAAAACGATTTTATATTTCTATTTTTTATACAATTTTTTTTAAAGTTCTTTGCAATATTCGAAGAAAGTTTTTACATAAATTAGAAAGATTTAATTATAAAATAAACTACTGGCAAAATAATTTTTAAATGACAATTTTCTATGGAAACGTATTTTTAATTCTTTGTCCAAATCTAATTGCCTTTCATATCATTGAAATTGAAACTGTCAATCATTTTTTTTTTATCCATATTTTCTACAAATGCATTTGAAGTACATGTATCAATTAATACCATTTTTTTCATCTTATTTATATTATATTTTTTCATATATTCATCTTCATCTAAACTTTAGAATCTAAAATCTCTCATCGAAATATTTCTATAGCCAATTAAGTTGTTTATATAGAAACAACGTTATATGGAAACCACATTATGAGAATACCGAAGAGGGTTTACTGTATGTGTATAAAAACAAATAATTATATATACGCAAGGAGATGTAATTTAGCTTTGGGATTTGCATTAGCAATAGTAAAGATTGATGTTATTTAATTGCACGTTCCGATGATTGGAATTTCAAGAACCGAATAAATAACGAATGTCCACAAAAAAAAACAAGGAGGCATACAAATGGATATCCTTCGAAATCCAATTGGCAGTGCATAATAAATACTGCCATGCTTACCATTACTGTACAGGATTGTAATAAACCTGAAATTTATGCTTCAATTAAAACCACTGCAAATTTCGAAGCAATTTGCATGCATTTGTATGTTAACGTTTGACTAGCAAATACAACATAGTACGACTTACGTCGTTACGTAGAAGTAATCTACATAATTGATTCACATTATCCCGTACGAACGAGAGGCGGCATGATTGAAAACGGGTTAAGTATTACTTTTAGAGGTAGCGTTTAAAGTTTCGCCTGTCAAAATAAACGTATCTACTCTCTCGGTACTATCGAGAGTTACGCAATGCGAGCTGGAGTTGCGACAGAGTGTGATTTTATTAAGATCGGTGCTATTGCATTTCAGATATGGCATGTGTCATCATATTTGATTCGATTGGAAATGTGCAAAGTAATCCTGAATTCGCTCACTTTTTTAATCATTGATTTACTCAAGATTCTCAGTTTATGCAACAATTCGATACAATGAAGAACTGCTACCAGTTTTATTAACCTGTATAATATATAAAGGCCAATGGGTGTTTGACTTCGAGCGGCCTTCCTCCAAATATCGCCATTGTCTGTAAACAGAAAAGATTGTATTCAATTGAAAGTAACAATACGCTTCTTCGGTAGTTCCATTAAAATCGATTGCACATTTTTGTTTACATTGTTTTTTTAGCGTGATTTGTCATGACTTAATGGTGGAAACACTTTTAATTGTTTTGATCTTGGTTATAATGAATAATTAAAGCAGCGGTTTATGATGATGTCATCCAGACCACACGTCAACGATGTGTTACATAATTTCTCGAAGACCTTAAATTGATCAGACATACCTAGTGCATGCCGCATTCCGTTAGAAAAAAAAACAAAGTAGTCAGGAAATTGTTGAAATTTTCTTTCACATTTTTTTGTTTAAAAATATTTATGCAATTATACATTTCTTGCAAAATACATACTATATTATTATTCATATACAGACATCAATACCTCACATAGCACCACTTCTATCCTACAATGATACAATTTTAAGTTTCAAAACAAACTCAGCAAAATCAAAATCAATTATAAAAAAATAAATCTTGAATTCAAGTCTTTTATATGCGTTTAATTTTGAATCCTCCATTAGTCCGGTTTGAAACGTTTTATGAATTAACCTGATATACGAGTTATAGCTGTACTACATTTGTATGATACAAATGACTACATGTAATATACTACTATTTAGTAAGTATTTTAGAATTCTTTGATTAATTAAATACTCTTGTTTTTTTTAAATATATATTATAGCTGAAACCGCATTGCTTTCAACTTTTTATTGTTCTAGAAATTCACATTATTACTCAACATTCGAAAATTCTTCATGTATTTTATTCCTTCATTAATTTTAAGTATAACTTTTTTATTTTTGGGACAGAAAGACTTAAACTCGATAAACCTTAAACTTATTTATTTAGTCAATAAATTTGCTTATATAATAATTTACTGCAAATAATGCATTATTTAATTCACTTATCACAGATTTTTATAATTTATTACAAAATTGTTGTTAAATTGTCATTTAAATTACACTATTATTCTCTCAATATATTTAAAAAATAAAGATAATAGTTTCGATTCTATCTCGACACGAATGTATTTATGTACGTCCACAAAAAAGAAATATAATTTTAAAAAAAAACTGAATTCATATAAAAAAGTAAACTTGTTTTGAGCACGACATTCTCAACGGAGATAATTTTAGCAAATCGTTTCGATCGTGACGTGATCGTTGCTCCCGTATTTTGGAGTGTACTCC